TCAGCAGCCCATACCCCTTCCCTCGCCCCTAGATGTGCCCCACAGTGCCAGCCCCACAGGGAGCAACGTCTCCTGCTCCTCATGCGCTGCCCTTGTCTGCAGGCACCTCCTGCCCTCATCTGCCCAGTGCCCAGGCAGAGCAGGGCACAGCCCCACGTGCCCCCTCCCGGGAGCCCCAGGGCTCTGCGCAGCTCCGTGCTCGCTGCCCGCCCTGGTGACACCCTGGAACAAACAGCTCTCCTCCGAGCAGAGCCCCGGGCAGCCCCGCAGGGTCCCTCCAACGGCCCTACAGGGGTGGTCCCATCCCCGCTCGGAGGGGCCAGCTCTGCAGCAGCCGCTGGTCGCACAGCGTGGTTCCAGCCGCCCCGCACGCACGGCTGCGTGCGAGGGACACGGCACCCACGTACCGCCGCGCACCCAGCAGCAGGGCGGCATCCCGCACGGCCGCTATCCCACGCCGCGCTATCCCGGGCCGCACTATCCCAGGCCACGCTATCGCAGACCACGCTATCCCGGGCCGCGCTATCCCGGGCCATGCTATCCTAGACCACAGCTGCTCTGCCCCTTGTCCCGGGGGCAGCAGGGAGACCCTTGGGGGCTCCATCCCTGCTCACTGAGCAGCAGCCACGCCCACTGCACGAGCAGGCCCCGCCCACCAGGGCGATGCCCCGCCTCCTGAAAGGAGGCTCCTCCCACTGCAACCTCAAGCTCCGCCCCAGCAGGGTCCAGTGCCCCCAGTAGGTGCCCCAGTGCCAAGGTGCCCTGGGTGCTGCTGCCCCAAGGCATCCCGGGGGTGGCACGGGAGCTGAGGGGCCGGCAGCGCGGGGTCGCGGGGCCGTGGGGCGCAGGCCGGTGCAGCCGGTGCCGCGCACAGCGCCTGCAGCAGCCCCCAGCTCTCTCTCTCGTGCTGCCCCTCGTGCTGCTGCACACCTCGCGCCCTGGCACCCGCACGGGCACCTCCTGCCCCAGCCGCTGCAGGGAGCCCCGGGCAGGCTGGCAGCACCCGCCAGCGCCAGCCTGCTGCACCAGCACTGAAGCAGGGCGCTGCAAAGCACCGGCACAGCCGCAGCGTGCGGCGCCCGGCAGCCCGTACCTTCCATGTCGATGATGGCCAGCACGCCGCTCGTCATGGCCTCTCCCTGCTCGTTCTGCGCGATGCACGTGTACACGCCGGCATCCTCCTTCTTGCTGTCACGGATCCAGAGGGTGCCGGGCTCGTCGCCGCTGGGGGTGATGCGCTCGCCGTTCCGGTACCAGCGCAGGCTGGGCTGGGGGTGCCCCACGGCCACCACCTTCAGCCGGATGTCACAGCCGGTGCCGATGGCCGCGTTCTTCAGCTTGCGCGCAAACACCGGTGCCAGCGGGCGCACGCGGGCCCCCTCGGCCGCCCCCTGCTCTCCGGTGACCTTGGCACGTTTCGGGGGGATGCCCGGGCTTGCAGGGGCAGCCCCGGGCCTGCCCGGCGGGCGCCCGGCCGCCCCCGCTGCCTCTGCGGCCCGGC